CCAGACCACGCAGCCAGGGGACGAGGGAGGGAATGAGTTCCGTCCGGTGGTGCTGACAGCCTGCAGCCCCACGGGCCGTGTTTGATGGACGGGATTGAACTCCTGGGGACGCCTTCCCAGGCGGGACGGGGGCGGGGCGGGAGGACGGCCGCGCTGTGCGGAGCTGAGTCCGTTTTTATCCCCGCTCCGCGAGGCCCTCACCGCCCTGCCCACCGCGAGCCCCACCGCCACCACCTCGGCGCTAGAGGGCTTTCTGCGGCCCCGACCGATGGTGGAGCGGTTCCAATGAGATAAAGGACACGAAAGCTGACAGACAAGGAAACATCTGGGTAAGTTTTCAAGGAAATGGATGGGCATCTGAGCAGGAAAAGAGATCAGGAGATGGAACGACTTGGAATGGGACACGGCGATCTTTTCCAGAAACTGCAGGATCTTTCACCAAAAGCCGTGTCCCCACCAGGTTTCTCCATGTGTGATGGTTGCTCAGCGAAGGTCTGTGTGCTGAGGCGCGAGGGTACAGTCTGCAGCGAAGCACCCCACAGCCCAGATTCGGGGGGACCGAGCGCCCTTCAGTGTTGTCCCCACGTCAGAAGCCAGTGGGCAGTGTGTACCAGACCGCACCCCGAAATCCAGACGCAAGATCGATTTTTTTATTTATTTTAAAATTTACTTTCCTCCACTTCATCTGTGTCCTCATGTCTTCGTCTTTCTGAGATCCATGTATTTACTCATTCATGCCACCGCACAACACGCGTGACTCGAGTGTGCTGGGCGCCGTCAGGGGCTCTCCATGTGTGAGCTGGGTGCTGGGTGCTGGGTGCTGGGTGCTGGCCACGGGCTCTTCATGTGTGAGCAGAACACAGAGGAGCAGCCAGTAGCAGGAGGGGCCAACAGCCAGTCCACGGCCACTTCCCCAAGGGGAGGTAGAGGGCAGGGCTGGAGAACTGCAGGGGCCACCAGTCGGCTGGTGGGTCAGGGAACAGCCGAGGGAGCCGTCATTGAGACACACCCTCCTCTTCCTCCGCTTATCCCGAGAGCAGGTCCCAGGCGTGGGTTTGGGCCCAGGCGTTGGTGTGGAGGGTGCCTCCAGGAAACAGGAGAGAGGACACCGGATGGACGTGTTTCCAAGCTGGCCACCCGTGGACGACGGGGCTCAGACTGGCTGGGCCTCCGGAAGGCCCCGGGGGGATGCACCCTGAAGGCTGGCAGGCAGACAGTTTTTGTCTGACTTCCATCACCCAATGATTGACACTTGCACTCCCACCCCTATCTCCTCCTCCCCCCACCCCGCCCCCCAGGTTCCTCTGGCTGAGCAGCTCCCAGAGCTTCAAAGACAGCCTGGAGGTCGACCCACAGGGTTTGAGGTGCCAGCAGGGAGGTCAAAGGGACATTCAGCACCAGATTGAGGACAGTTTCCACTTCTGTCAGAGCAGGAAACGCCAGGTAGGAAGGGCTGCTGGCCAGAAGAGTAAGGACTTGGTGCTGTGGGAGTCAGAGGAACCAGGACAACATGAGAAGGGGGAGGGCAGACGAACACATCTGCAGTACACATCTGGGGGCTCAAAGGACATTTACGGACTCCGAATTATACCCTGGACACACGACAGTTTGTTTAAGTAATTCTTTATTGTTGAAAGTATTACATGTCCCCCCTTTTCCCCCAGTGACCCCCTCCAGCCCGCACCCCTCTGCCCCCCAGCCTTCACCATCCTATTGTCTGCTGGACACAATAAAATTTGATGTAGGGTTCTGAGCAGGGAAATAAGATGTTCTGCATAGACAATCACGCCGCTATATACCTTTTATTCCTTCTACTGGTCACAGTGCATTAGCCACGACTCCCAGCCTGACCTGGGAAAGGGGTGGAGGGAGGAGCCATGATGGCCGGAGGAAGCATCTCGTTTCTCCTCCTAAGCGTGGCATTCGCGCAGGGTTTCTGCAGATGCCTTTTATCAGGTCTAAAATGTCCCCCCTACCCTCTTCCTAGTTTGCTGGGTGTTTTTACCTTGAACTTTGCATTTTATTGAATTATGTCAAATGCTTTTTCTGCACCGATTGATATGATCACGTGATTTTTCTTTAGCTTGGACATGTGACTTTTGAATGAAAGTCACATCCTCGTGGCTGCTGGGAGGAGAGAGGGAGGTGGTTGGGGGTGAGGAGACGAGTGTGGAATTGGGGAGGTCGCATTTTAAATGCCTGGGCCACTCCTAGCTAGTAACCCTACAGATGTGAGCCAGCGGGAGCGGGAGGTGCTGCGGGTGGAACGCAAGGGGTGCTGTTTCGGGAGGGGGTGTGAGGAAGAGGCAGGGAGGAGGGCACACTGAGCCCCAGGCCTGGCTCGGCAGGTGCTTGGCAGGTGGTGGATGGTGCTTCTGGGAGCCCACTGAGCAGCATGAATGCAGGGACTGGTGAGTGGAGCCCTCCGGACCTCAGCAGGAGCAGGACAGCCCCGGAGGATGCAGAACACACTGGGCAGCAGAGCCGATTGCAGAGGACAGAGTGGAGGCAGGCTGTCGGGACAGGAGGAAGCATGTGGGTCCTGAGGCCAGAAGGTCGAGGGCTGGAGGGCTGCTGGGGATGCAGAGGAGAGAATGTCAGACTCACAGGCAGCCTCGCCGAGGGCAGGGGCCAGCTCGAGTTCCCTCTCCTCTGCACCACTCTCGTTTTTGAAGTTCTCTATCATAGTTTGGAGAGTTTTAGGCTCACAGCAAGCCTGGGGTAAAGGCAGAGATCTCCAACACACCCCTACCTTCCCATTAGCAACATCCCCACATCTGTCACAATGGACCTGGGGTCACCCAGAGTCCACAGTGGGCATCGGGGTTCACTCTGCGTCCATTCTCTGGGTTTGGGCAGATGTATGATGACGTGTGTCCGTCATGATAGTATCACGCAGAGTAGTTCCACCCATTCATCCCTCCTTTCTCCCACCCCCGTGGCAACCCCCGATTTACTACTGTCTCCGTAAATCTGTCTTTTCTAGAACATCGTAGAGTTGGAGTCACACCGTGTGGGGCCTTTTCAGATTGGCTTCTGTCCCTCAGTCACGGGCATCTCGTGTTCCTCTTCGTCTTTCCATGGCTTGATAGCTCATTTCTTTTCAGCTGAAGAATCCATTGTCTGATGGTCCCACGGTTGACCCGCCACCTACAGAAAGGACATCTTGGTTGCTTCCAGATTCTGACAATTATGCGTGAAGCTGCTGCTGACTGTTGTGCAGGTTTTGCGTGGACAATCGTTTTCCCCTCGCTTGGTTTGCTGGGTGGCATGGTAAGAGTATGTTTCGTTTTGCAAGAAACAGTCAAACCGTCTTCGTCAGTGGCTGCACATCTTCGTTTCCACCGGCAGTGAGCGCTGTCCCCAGGGCCCCTCTCCTCACCAGCACCTGGTGTGGTCAGGGCCTGGAATTTGGTCTTTCCAATCGGTGTGCAGTGATGGCTCATTGGGGCTTTGATTTGCATCGCATTGCATTTGCCTGATGGCAGGCAGTGGCACATCCTTTCCTAAGCTATTCACCACCCGCATATCTCCTGTGTCTATTAAGGTCTTTGACGCTTTTGTTATTCATTGTTCATTTTTTTCAATCTCAACCTGACCAGATACTTCAGACACACATTGGCTGTGTATGTGGTGTGTGTTCCGGTGTGTTTTTTAACCCTCTTTTGATTATGTACATGGCGTGTATTCTGTCTTTAAAAGCCCTCCAGCTCCGACCCCACTTCCCCAATCCCAGTAGAGAGGGATCTACACTCAATGTGCTCAGTTTCTCTCCTGCGACTCTCTCTTGAATTCCTTCAAGCTTGGGCCTCCACCACACCCACAGAATCAATGTCATCAAGGTCACTGATGACCTGCACTTGACACATCCGATTGTCTGGAATGGGCCTCACCTCACCCATCAACATCCGGAGAGACAAAGGACTTCTGTGGCTTAGCCTCCAGGGCCGCCCCCCCCCCCCCCGGAGGGCGGTCCTCAGGGAACCGCTGGCCTTGGGTCCCCAGACCACACACGGGGGGCCACTGGCCACCTCTCTTCTGCCCCAGCCCAAGACCCCCTCAGTCAGAATCTCTTTTGCTCCGTCTTCAAATACACCCCCAAATCCAGCCACCTCTTCCCGCAGCTGCCCATGCTAGCCCGCCTCCAAGGCCTCTGGCAGCCAGGCCTCCGTGGGGCTCCATGCTCCCCACACCACCATCTCTGGGGACAGTGGCCCCAGGGACTCCTCCAGATGTCAGATGGTGTCACTGTGGGATCTGGAACCAGCCCCGATTCCAGATCCCATTGCGCCCGCTGGAAAACCTAAGGCGGACGCCCTCCCGCGCCCTGGAATCTGACCCCATCCCTCCTCCCTCCCCTGCCCGGCTCTGTGCCCTCACGCTGGCCACGGGGGGCGCTGCTCCCGACACAACCTCAGGGCCTGGGGACACGTGCTGGCCCTGCTTCGAGCCGACTCAGATTCTCTGAGGCTCCCCGATTCCCCACCTACCCCGCC